TAAAAAAAGAGACTAATCTTGCAAAGAACCTTTCGTATAACAACAAGTAATTTTATAATTTAATTTAGTGAAATATTTAAATTTTGTTAACATATGCGCTAGCTACTCCCTCATGTTTTTGTTACTATATATAGTTGGTTACTATACATGTTGGACCCTTCTTTACGTGCTTTATACTGTTTAGTTTACGTGCTTTGTGACTGTTTCAAACTTAATAGACTTCCCACTAAATTCCAAAATATTGTATATTTAAGCTTAATAATGGAGTTCAGTGTTATAAATTTTTTTTTAAATTTTGGTTGCATAAACTTTTAATATTGTTAAACAAAATCCTTGTGAAGACCGAGCTTAGTTTGTTTCTACCTTAGAATACTGAACTCACTATTTACCTGATAAGATGAGTTCGTTTTTCACCGATAATGACTTCAGTCGAGTGAGGGAAATGTGGGTGGTTTTGGGATATATCATACTATATAGCACATAGGATATAGCACATAAAGAAGGGTCCAACATGATTGCATAGGATCTCTGTATTCCTTTCTAAGGTTCTAATAGTTTTCACATGGTTCTTGTCTCTTTAAAATGTATTGTTTATGGGCGAAAAATATCAAAAGTTTCTTTTGCTCAAGTTAGGGGGGGCCCAAAATCCTATTATGCTTCCCCTATTTTCAGAGGTTAATCGGGCCCTGCGTATCATCATCCTACTGTATCATTAATGGTGTGCAGATTGTTATTTTAGGAAGTCGATTTTTTTGCTCTGTTATTGCATAGATTAGAGAAAACGGTCATTTAGAAAGTATTTTGTCTTTCCTGTTGTGCTGTCGATCATTTGGTGTTAAGATAGACATGCATTAAAACCGCTTCTCTTCTCTGGGGGGAAAAAACTATCACTAGTAACATTATGAAAACGTTCTCACTCATTTATCTTTTCATTTGTTACAAAATGGAAATGAATTTTCTTTGCATGTTGCCACAGAAGCATTATTTATATGAGTTGATGATGAGTGAAATACAGTCAGACCTCCATTAAAGAAGTCACTAAAACCCGATAAAAATTTCGTTATATAGAAAAATCACCATTTGAAATTCTTAAACACAAACAAGGTTTTAAATTTATAAATGCTAGACATGATTTAATTAGCTACTGATACACCTTTCTTTTGTAAATTTTTATATAATATCGATTGTTTCAAATGATTTCATCATGTGAAGGTTTGGTGATTCCTTCATCTTCTTCCTCACAATTTATTGCTGCATTTTTTTTCCACACTGTCAAACATATTCGATTTAGTTAATTTTTCAGTCGTTGCAGCTTGAGAATCAATAAAAAGAAAATCATTAATCAGTACATTATCATTAATTTCACGGTTCTCTCTTAACTGCTCCTGTATTTTTTTCTCAAGCTCTTCTAAAGGAATGCCATCCTCCGCACTTTCCAAATTTTCTGCGCTGAATCCAGCTTTAGCAAAACTGTTATAAATCGTACGCTCTGTAACATCATAGTTTCATGCTTTAGAAATTTCTGTTATGCTTTCTCATAAACTGATTTTTGGCACGGATTCCTGTATGAAATGCCAACCAAAAGAGAAAGGGATTTTACCGCTTTTTCAAAAAACTAAGTGGCTGCGAAAATCAGTTCAAGGTCATTCTTCTGGAAAATGTTCCAAAGTATGTTGGAAAATAGAAAAAGTGGATCACAAAGAAAAGTTCGTTAAATAGAAAATTCCCATCGCTATACGGAATTTATTTTATGGAGAAAATATTATATGGAGAATTTCCAAAAAAATCGCACAATAGAGAAATTTGCAAAATGGAAGTGCATTAAATAGAAGTCCAACTGTATTTTTATAAGGCAATTAACAATGTTGAATAAAACAAAAAGTATAATTACCTTAATTTTTGTTTTCAGAGATTCTGTTTTAAATCTTTTCTTATCATCATCACCCCCAGTTGCTTCACTCACATCATCTAAATTGAATAACATTCATAAATACATAATTTAGACAATTTTAAATGGTTTCATTCAAAATATTACCTGTATTCAACTCTTAATGTGTCTTTTCCAATATGGATTGTGCATGAATGAATTGTGAAAACGTTTAATAGAACAATGTGAAAACCACACTTTTGCATAATACGCAGCAAAAATCGACATAGTAAAGAAGAAAAAAAATCCCATTTTCGAAAAAGGAAAATCAAGTGCATTTTAAAAACCCTATGCACCATGTAATTTACAAAAGGATACTTAACGTGTTCATGGTCAGGAAATTAATAAACATTTTTCTTCCATGTTGAAAAAATCATTGTGATTAATACGTCTTATAGGGTCATAGCAAAAGTTTTATGCAATTATACAACATATAGAAATTTGTTTTAAATAAATATTAAGTTTAAGAGTAATGATTAAAAAGTCTTTGAATCAGGGTTGGCTTTTTGCCGGCAGAAACTGGTTATAACTGGTAAAAACTGACAAAAACTAAAAAACGTCTATATTAGTTCCAGTAATTGCTTAATGACATTTTGTTCAAGTAAACTGAAAAATGTAACTCCATGTAACTGTAACAAACTTTTTAATTTGCAAAAGATGCTTGTGATATTTGGATTAATCTAACAAAGGAAGAGAATCTTATGGCTGTTTATGAAAAAGAAGTGACATACAGATTTAAGGAGGCAGTTACTGATTATCATTTGCTAGCT